TGTTGGGAGGGAGGAGGCAGCTTCTTTCCTGCACTGGCCATTGGAAGTCATGATGCTGCTGCAGCAGCTGGGCTGATAACACTGGAGTGTTCCTACATGTGGGACACACAGCCCTCAGTGAGAAAAGGGGAAAAACAGAGGTCTTGTGGTTTGCTACAGGGCAGGAAAAGCATGGTGCTAGTCAGGAAACCTGCTGTGCAGCAGAGCAGAGGGCAGCTGTGGAAAGTGGGGAAGAGTATGGCTGAGAAAAACATCACCAGGAGACAGAGGCTGTTTCATTTCCTTATTGAGAGTGAATTTAATATTTACAGTATTCAGACAAACACAAATCTTGAGGGACTTTGGAGAAAAAGCTAAAGATGTCTGCAATCAACCCATAAGCAGAATGATATTTGTAAAGACCCAGCTCTGTGGTATGTGGACAAATGGACACCCTGTACTCTGGGAGTATCAGAGAGTGATTTCCAAGTATTTGTCCCCAGAGCCTTTCCACAGATTCATATTTTTTGCAAGGCCAGGCTGTGTGAGGAGGTCTGAGAGAGAATCATGGATCATGCAGAAGGTGACCTAAAGCTTAAAAACAAAACTAGGATTTTAGAGGCGTCTGAGAGGGTTAGCCGATATCCCCATGGAAATCAGAAGCCCTGACTCTTTAAACTCCCTTGACAATGCTCTCATGTAAAAAACTCCATCTTTTCTTTAAATATGATTTCTCTAGAGCCACCTAGTCGGAAAACCTCCAAGAGGAAATTTTACTCAGGTCATTGATGGGCACACGATGTAGGTGGTAAGGTGGGTAAACGGGAGGCAGATCCTAACAGCTTGGTTCTGTGCATCGCCACTTGCCCATGCACGGCGTTCTCTGCTGTCAAGTCCCTGAGAGGGAGCTCTGCAAGATGTGGCCCTTTGCAGGCTCCCAGGGGATTCTTGGAAGAGAGCTCCAAGAGGAAACTATTTGACCTCTGTGTGGATTAAGGCAGAAAATGTTCCCTCCTTGCCAAGAGGGCTGGTAGAGCCGCACAGTTCCAATAATGGAGATGGTATTCTCTTCTGCAGAGCTTTCCAGCTGGCGGCTGCAGGGTGAAGCTGGCTGGACAGAGCTGCAGCTCCAAGAGCAGGCTTTGGGGAGCAGCAGGAGCCTGCCACGGCCTGCTGCAGTAGCAGTGGGCAAGGCACGTTCTCCGCCCCATGCCACAGCAGCACATAAGGAACTGCTGCGGAGGGGTGGGAGGATTTTGGGTTGCCGTAGGGCCAGAAGAGAGAGCTATGTAGTCATCCTGAAAGGCTGGAGCCTGCTGCCTTTGGCTAAGTGCCAAGTGGCAGCACATCCAAACTGATTGGAATTTGGTATTGCTGCCACCAAAAACTAGACTGAACTGCAGAGCTGGGTTTCACGGAGTGAGCATCTTGCTACTTTGAGGCTGCCCAAAAATTATGGTGGTGGAAATCATTCTGAATGCTTACCTTAAAAACCCAACTGAAGATGAAACCTGCTACAAAGCACATCACCAGTGGGACAACCCAACAGTTCTTTGCTGTTTTGTTGCCCAGGGACCAAAAGAGAGTTCCGTTTCTTGTTACATCCTATATCCAACACAAAGCTTTACAATCATCCTCTGCAGGTCCAGCATGATACCGAGAGCTGGTCTGCCTGTATTCTGTTAGGTTCTTCCTGTGAGTAGAAATTTTTGCATCTTGTTGTGGTTAAAATTGGTCTTTTTGAAAATGAGGTGAGGTTGTAGTGCCTAAGAGGTGGAACAAACTGAGAAGCTTGGAAAGGAGTCTTTATTCCTAGATCTAAGCACTATATTTGTTCATAGTACAATACGATCCTGTGGATACCAGTTTAAACATGGTAAGAACAGACCTTCTACAAGAAACAAGGAATATCTATCCAGTCTGAGCCACGTAACTCCTCTGAAACATAATGAGGAGAAAACATGGATTTTTCTAAAAAGTTTTCATGAATGATCACCTGGAGTCTGAGGATGACATTTGAGTAGTAGCTGAGTACAGCTGTAGTAACAAAGGAAATTCAGTTATAAAGGGTTTCTAGATAGAAGGGGTAGAAGATGGGCCCCAAAGACTCGACTGGATTTGTCCTAGAGAGGTGCTGGGCATTTAACTAATGGGCTGCTGAAGTTTCTGAATCAAACTCAGAAGTAAACCTGCTGGACCATCTCTGATCTAGGCTGCACTGCACTCCAGCACATGGCTGATGCTGGAGACGTGGTCCAAGGGGAAAGACTCATGACTGTCCATTGGGAACATTCCCTGAGGTGGCAAAACTGAGCCCTTAGCCAGACCCTGGGTTTCATCCATAGGGCTGGCTAAGAGAAATGGAGGCTAATACCAGTGGAAAGCTGTGATTAGAGGTTCTCATCCATTACTTCAGATAAATCTTAGCCCAAATCATCTGAGTAAGAGCAAAGCCTGTTCTGTACTCAAAGCTGAGCTGCCCTGAAGAAGGGAGGAAGAAAAGCAATGACAAAAATAATACTGACATGAAGTTTCTTGCCTCAGAAATATGACACATTACACCAAGTGCTGGATGCATTTGCTATACTTGCCTAAATTCCAAATGTGCACATATGCAGGGCCATGCATACTTCCATAGGTTATTTTCTATTCCACTTTCTACTGCCCTGCTGCAGATATAACCTGCTGATTTCCACTGTCCTTTCCCCTATAATGTCAGTAACAGAAGTTGAATGCCGCCTTTACAATTAGTTTTTCCTGAGTATATTATTCCAAGGACAAAGTATAAATATCTCCAGGAAGTGCACTTTAATTAAAAGGTTATTGGCCATGCAGAATTGCCTCCTGGGTCAGAGCTCAAAGGGAATGCTTTTGCCCTAATGAGAATATAAAGGACACTTCTCCCTTCCTCTGCAGGATATGAATGTCAGTATAAAAGCTTATCACAGCTGTGCAGGGAAGGGTTATTAGAACAGAGGAACATATAACCAAGCATGTGAATTATTTTCAGGAATTATTTTGGGGAAGGGGAATAAATAAATAAATAAATTCTAGGCATGAATCCTGATCTTTTGACCTTTCTTTGTGACCTGGCTCCCCAGCACAGTTAGTTTTGTCATGACCACTGTTAGAAATCCCTTATAGCCTCTTGCTTCTTCTTGCTGGCTACTGGGACCACCCCTCAAATTCCTTCTGTCATCACAGACAATTTGATCTGAACATGAAGTTGTTGTCAGTACTATTTTATTAATGCTGTTCAGCCAGGGAAGAGGGAAAGTCTGTATTTTAAGAGAGAACATTTTTAGTAATTTCACAGGGCTGGTTTTTAATACATTCTCTATGCACTTTAATCAACTTGTCTGCAAGTGACTTGGCCTCCTATCAGGTGTGCTCATCTCTGTTAATGCAAGTCAATACAGAACTATGATAAGAAACTTGATACGTCCAGAGAAATTGGTCCACATCATTATGTTATAAAATGAAAGAAAAAAAATGAAAAAAAAAAAAGACTTGAACTGCATTCTGTGGGGATAGATTCCTCCCTCTGGAAGATACTAGCTATTTTGAATAGCCTCAAATGTCATTCTATGAAGTAAATCAGATTCTGCAATTAGAATTCATAAATAATCTATATTTTAGCTGGACTACGCACAAGTTGGAAAGCTACCTTTTGCTCTTTGCTTCTTCTAAAATTAACATACTTGAAAGAAAAGCCAAGAGATTTGCAACTACTAATTCTCAGTGAGTTATAAAGAGCCTGGATGCCCTGCGTACATCTATGCATGCTTCCATATATGGCCATGTTCTCCTCAATACTCGCTGTTCCGCAAAAATGTAATGATAACAAATTCAAAACAAATACCTTTTAGGGACTAGTGTGTCAATTGCAAATGAGATAATAAAAATCATTGTTTACATCTAAGCGAATGCAGCCAGAGGAGTATCATGCAGTAATTGAAGGGACTTCTTAGTTAAGTGCTTTGCCCTCCGGGGTTTCATCCTGTTAGCCTCTGTTAGTGGTTTATGGGAATGGAGAGCTTTGGGGGTTTGGAAAGTGGGACCGGGCACAGCATCTTCTTGCAAGCTGCCTGCCAGGGCAAAACTTTAATAGAAAGAGAAGGTGGGCTTGCTTGTAAACAAGTGTATTTCAGAAAAGATTTCATTGAGATGTATATGTTATATAATAATGATGAAACTTCTGATTTCCCTTGTATTTAAAATGTTTTTTTTCTTCATTATAAGCATATATGTACACCTCTCACGTACATATCCACGTGTGTGTGCATACACATATATAAATATGTATGTGAGAGTAGCCAGTGAACTTCTGGGATGACACTGAAGCTGTTTTCTATACTGCCATCTACTGTCGTTTTACTTTACTCACAACATTTTGTTCAAGTTAGAAGTTCGCTTCTTTATTTTCCCTTTAAAAAGGGCATAAGTTGCATTTGAAATCACTTAAATTAGTCTAGGTCAGTGAATTAATCAGATTAATTCGCTTAAAAATTATTTCCAGCATATTAAAATGCACAAATATAATAGGTATTTTTGTAAAAATGTTTCCATTTCTTCTCCTAGTTTTTAAGTATTTTTCCTGTTTAAAGACCAGAAAACTGGAAGGCTAATTACATTATTTGGTTTACTTTCATTAAGCTGCTCAGGAAATGCACTGTAAAAGCAGAAATGCTTAAAGAAGATCAGCTGCTCAGGCTAGCAGGTTTTTTCCATACCGAATGCTCCCTATGATGCATCCTTGCAGCACGTACCTGCTGCAGCCCGGCAGCGTGGCACCTTGCGGGCTGCCTCGCTGCTGGCTCAGAGCGTGACCACTGCTCCCCAGCCAGCACCTTCAAGGCTCAATTCAGCCACAGCAGTCTTAGAAGTAACTAAGGACCAAGCTGGATCATCAACATGCACTGCCTCTTGCACATTTTAAATAGAACCCCATTAGTAATATACAGGATAAACCATTTGAGCATGTCTGGTAGATCTATTTCTGATTTGTATGCTCTCTGCAGGTTCACTCACTGAAGGACTTTGCAGAGTAACACCATCCTTGCTGCCCTACTCCATCCCAGCATGGTGAGCCCCCAGCCCCATTCCCAGCAGGGATGTGCTGCCCTCCCCCCCCAGTACTCACAGGCGTCCGATTAAGGCAGGGAGGGAACTGGAGAGTCAGGAACCTGTACAGCCACCAGCCGGGACAGTCCAAGTCCTCGCCGCCTTCTCAACCTCCCTATATAGAGGAGGAGAATCTTGTCAGTGGGGAGGGGCCCTGTAAACCACGTCCTGCTGGAAAATCCTCCCAGTACCTGGGTTAAAAAACCCAGCCTCAGCCAAGGAGCTCATTCCCAGCGGGGCCTACCCCAGGGCTGCTGCCCCTGTCCCCAGTTGCCCTTCAGCAAAGCTGGGTCTGGCATCCCTGGCTTTCCGGAAGGCATCGGGGGTACCCCTAAACCTCAAGTTTGGAGCTTCTGCTTGTTTCTGGGGGTGCAACTCTTTGGCCAGACAGACCTTTTAATTCCTTCCTGCCTCGGCAGCATCCTTGCCCCTTGTGCCCCTCTCCCACATGCAAAGGGCAGATCCCGGTCCCATGGGGCACAGGAGGTTTCCCACCCACTGTCAGTGCCTTTTCTTGGAACTGTGGAAGATGTGTTCCTGAGTTGAGGAGCTGCTTGGTGGAGGGGAGTTATTCCTAACACAGCAGGGTCTATGGGTGTTTGTGTGACATTCAGAGCTTGGGGCTGGTGTCAGCCTCCTTTGCCCCTGGGGAGAAAGAGGGATGTTTCCCAGCTCCCCAGCACATTTGCCAAAGTTTCTTTTGCCAGCCTGTGCTCAGCTCAGTTCCCGAGAAAGCACTGTAAATACTTTTTCATATATAAGAAATACCTCCCTCTGTCCATAAAAGGAAGAAGAGAAGTGATAAATAGCTGAGGGGGAGCAGTCGCTGGGATGCAGTGGAAAGAGCAGGCAGCAGGCACTGCGTGCCGGGGGGGAGAGGAGGACAGGGTGCGTGGAGCCAGACCTGCCAGGGCTAGGGAGGGATCTGGTCCTCATCAAATCTCCCTCACACCCCCGAAACCTTCAGTCGCCAGCTGTCCCCCCTCCTCCCGCTGCGAGTAGCCAACAGCCTTGTGCAGTGAGACCTGTGGATGGAGACATCCCAAAAAGGGAAAGCTAGGATCCTCTAGGAATTCCCATCAACGTGCCAAACACAAAATACCGAAACAACCCCCTCTCAGCACCAGGCTAAATATGGTGTATACCCAAAGGATCAGAGCACAGTCCTGGGTGAAATAATTTCTCTTGACATCAACAATCCGGTCTTCTCTGAAAAATAAGCCCTCCTGAGGAAGATGGATGAGAATTATATTGGCCTTGGCATCCTAGGAAAATACCTCTGAGGGAAGGCTGAGCTGAAAACCTCGGGTGTCACTCGTGGAAGTCCCAGTGCTTGCAGGTGTGACGGAACAACAGACCCTGCTTCTAGCACTGGCCAGTGGTGAACAAAACTGATTAAACAGGAGAGAGGGGAAGTGCATCAGTGCTCCTTCCCCACTACGTTGCAGAAGTACCAGCTATGGACATCATGAGAAGCCTCAGCTGGAGAAGACTCAGTTTGCTAACCCAGTTGTGTTTCCAGTAGTGTGCTCAAGTGGAGGGGCAGTGTTCACTGCCTTGCGAGGCGTGGGGCTGCCCCGCAGCCTGGCAAAGCCCTGACAGGTTTGGAAAGGCAGCAGGGTCGTATCAGACTGATGCACATGTGACTGTGTTGGAAGGAAGCCAGGGGAAATGATATCCAGGATGTCAATCCAAGAAACTCACCCTTGTTAGCAGAAAGCTCCTCACTGCAGAGTTGGCCCTGTTCTATTTGCAGTTTCTGTGTTGCAAGCTTAGCTTTTAAATAGGAGTATAATGAATAGAAAATACTGAAATGCAAGGGGATCCCCTGAAAATTATGATCATTTCAGCATTCGTCAAAGTTATCCTAAGAAGCTCCTTCTAAACCCACGCAGCTGTTTCACAAAACCAGATGCATTTTAATAGTAGCTTAAAAAGGAGTGGAAATTATTCCTGCCGCTGTGCAAACCACTGCATGTGCACACGCAGGCTCGCTGCCTGAGTAGTATGTTTAGCAGAGGCAGTGGTGGAGGATGATATATGATGTGACATTAAACTGAGCTGCAAACTAAAAAAATATTACTGCTGGGACTGAAACAGTTGCAGTTTCAAGCCAGGTGGGGTAGGAACTGATAAGCATAGGCCTGGCCTTCATCCTTCACTTAAAAGTCAGCATAAGAATATAGTAATGAAATAGCCTGGTTGGAGTTTCCCAAGTGCTGCAGTAGTTTTTAAACCTTTTAAAAATTGCATCAGAATGAAAGCTGTGCAGTTCCAGTGGATGATGCTTTTGTGACAGCAAAATAAGCTTTACTTAACTCCTCCTCCTAATTTATTTATTTTAATTGCTTTTCTAGAAAAAAATAAGCCTGCTCTTAAATATCTCCATGCTGAATTCGCACAGTAAATATTATACTCAGAAAAAAAGGGGACTCAAGAAGGAATGAGTTTTTCAGCTACGTCAACACTGTGTAAACTGAGTACAACGGAGGAAAAAAAGAAAAGCCCGTGTGATGATGCGTTAGTTTCTTAAATAATGTGTCAGGTAAGCATTTTTGTTTAACAATTATTTTATCAAAATTTATCAACCATATTTCTCTAAGCTGACATAATTAGAACTAGGAAATGTAATAGCGGTATGTTAAGATGTACTTTTGCAACAGGAGGGACAGCCTGCACCCAAACTAGAACAGTTAACCACAGGAGTAGTCTGACCAGGCAGAGTAGTCAGGAACTGCTTAATGCTAAGCTTTGTGCTTGATGCTGGATCCAGGTTAAGTGAAGTACGTGAGGCAGAGAGGTCGATTCTAGATCAGTTTGGACTCCAGCTGCTACTGAAAGGGTGTCTCTCAGAGCGTGAACAAATATTTTTGGTTTTCTCTTCCTAAACATAATCACCAAATGGTAATCACTCCTCCGGAAAGCTGATCAACTGACACCAAGATTCAGCTTGATTTGAAAGGGTGCTCAGGAAGCAAAGTGTAACTGACTCCATGGGGCACGTTGATAAAACCTAGAAAAAAATTTCCCCATGCGTGACAGAAACTAATACCTCTGCAACAACACTGATGCTGTCGAGTATACACACAGACTTTCCTCTGATTTTAGGGGAAAGCAAAAATTTGGTTTTAAAGTTTTTTTGTTTTTTTTTTTAATAAACTTGTGGGTCAAGTTCTTCCAAAGTGCTTTCCAGATCTGATATCCACACCAAACTGCCCTGGCTCCTTGCCACCTTCACTTTTGATATCACACTCAGACGAAGAACAGCCTCTCTTAACATAATTCCCCTGCCTAACAGTCTTACAGTGTTCAAACTCCAAAAAAGAACACTCACAGTGCTCTAACTCACTAAAAATGCTGAACTTCTAAATCCTCACCTTTTTCTCATGTTCTGATATCAGTAGAAAGAATAAAGGCAGTTAATACAAGACATTACAGACTGTAATTAAGCTATACAGAATTTAAATTATTTGAGAAAATATTTTTGTATGTGTTCACCTAGGTGGAAGTTTCATCTAAAATCTGAACATGCCTCTCAAGGATTTTGAATTACTTTAATCTGGCTGACCTGGCCTAAACTTCTAAGGAATGATTTTTTGCAAGTGCATCCATAATGTACAGGATTTGCACTTCCTCTTCTTACTCGGGCAAGTAAAGGCAGTCTGGCATTCATAGGACTCACTACATGTCCACATCTTGAAAGATGCTCTCATATTTTGTGTAGTCAGGACAAATGCTAGACCATTAATAATGTGATTAGACTAGCATATTTTCAGGCATGTTTCAAAGCTTCATTGTACAAATAAATACCACGGGAAATACACTTCAATTTAATTTGCTCATACAATGACCGTACTTTAGAACAAGAGATTGTTCCGAAACTCTAAATTTCTACTGTGAGGGTATCACAAAATTAGGTGAAACACATGTTGCATAAAAGAGCAGACACACCAACTCCTGCTCCCATACTAGCACAGAATCTTGAGAAGCGGACAGAAGCTGTACTTCCCAAAGAAAATAGTTCTGAGATTTCTATCTTAAACAAAATTTTGCTATGATTTCAGACACACCAAATACACACCTTTACCTCAAAGCTCAATGAAGCACACCTCTGCTTTCATGGCTGTGGAGACCATGAGCATGCTGAGCTGTGTTCTTGGGAAGGTCAAGTACCAAGCTTCCCTTTGTCCTCTCCCACCATAGCAAAAACTATTTTTAATTTCAGCTATTACAAGTCCTTTTCCCAAGGAGCTCCATGACACCTGAGCAGCTTTTGTATGATCTATGGTAGGAAGATAGAAAGCAGACGCAATGGCTTTGGTTACACTGGAAGATTTGCATAGCATAGAAGGTTGTAGCTTCTGTGTTTTCCAGTAGAGCATTTTCCTTGCCCTTGAAAAGACAATTCGCATTCCAAACATGGATAATAATTTGACCCACTAGGTTATGGAGAATCATTTAACCTCTGGAAAACCAAAGTTAAAAATTCAGGGATTTCTGTGGCCTGAACAACCCTACCAGCATTCTGTAAAGGTTACTTTTTGCAATTTCTCAGATGCACTTTCAGCTCATTCCAAAATGAAGGTGATTTGTAAATAATAGCTTACAGACTATTTTTCTACTGTATTTTTAGATAGAGAAATTAAGAGATAGAACGGTAATTTGCACCAGATTGTCAGGAAAGAGCCTTTGTATTGAGGCAGATTCCCATGACGGTTGGGCTTTTACAGAGACAGCTCTTCAGCTAAGTAGTTGAAGTGATAGTGGTGTTAACACAGCAAACATTGAGGGCACACAGAGATAAATTTGCTTGCTTGACCCAGTAGTCAATAATGATGCAAAGCGACAAAAGACTTAAAGATGGATTTGATTAAGATAAATTTGCAAACATAAGTCCTCTCCTTTTGGAAACAGTCCTGAGGTACTTATAAATAAGCAAATGGGGAGCTGGCAGCATTGCCAGTCAAAGGTGATGAGCTCACTCCTAAGGCTTGAAATGGGTAAATGTAGCTTCCTTTAAAGCCATAATGGTTCTCTGCACTTTCACATTAGAGTAGTGCCTTGGCTGCTTATAAAAAAATCAAAAAAAATAACAAAACCACAACACCTATAATGCTAATTGGTTCAAATGATGACTAAGGCAAAAATTTGTAGAGTCTGTAAAACTCAGGGTCCTTTCACTAACATTTGCAAACTGTGTGTTCTCTTCCTCTCTTTTTCCCCCACACACTTACTGTACTGTTTATTTAACAATTTAAGGATTTTGGAGAACTCACCCCTAAAATTTTATTTACACAAAACTCCTCTTAGTATCACTGAAAAATTAACATCTAAACATTTTATTAAAAAAAAAGAAAAATAGATAACCTGATCTTTTTGATGTACTCGTACAAAGTCTGCTTCTGTCATCTCAAAACATATAAATACCTCAGCTAAAAAAGTTATGGGAATCAGTAATCTATTATCAACTTTATTTTTAACTTTGCCTGGCTTTGACTTTCATGTCATTTGGGGAAAAAAACAAAAAAAAATTCCCCTCCCTCTGGTATATTTAGTGTTACACCATACAATTTATAGCGACTCCAGATGGAAAAGGCTTACCCTCACTTGTTTGCTAGCATGAAGATAAATATAGTCCCCATTTCCGGAGAAATAAAAACAACTATTCCTCCAAAACACTTTAATTTTATTTTCAAATTCATTTTCCCATACTTTTCTGAAAGTAGCAGTTTCTTCTGCTTCTTAATGATGAGGAATCATTAAAATACTTAGTTTGAATTCTTTCAAAATACTAAACACAATAAAACTAAGAAAACCAGGAAAGACACATGAAGACATAAAATAGTAATAAAAGTGTGAAAATTATACAATATCTAGTAAGTTTTTATTTTTATAAAATGAATATTTTTAGGCCCAATTCTAGACACAGGCTCAATTAATCTGACTTCATATACAGTTTTCCTTCTATTAGCACTAGAGGAAAAAGGCCTTGGTTAATATTTTTTCATTGGCAGCAAGTAAGACCCCATCTTTATGTCTAATAGGTAGCTCTAACAAAATGAACTGGTCCCACTGGAAATAATGGAGAAATTTAAAGAAGAATTTCTTAAATTAACGCTCAAAGAGCTTTACATGAGAAATTAATATATGAAAGATATCATCTATTTATACTTTGTAAAACAAGGGGCTCTTCAATGCTGGTGCCGGCCATCCTTCCTGGTTCTGGAATTCTATCTAAAAATGAAACAGACAAAAATGTTTTCACACATCTGGAGAACCAAACGTGTTACTTTCTACATTATGACCTTTGATATAGAATCTCATCATAGGAAGCCCAAGCGACTTTATAAATATATTTTTTCCATACAACTGTATGAGATAAGAGCTTTGCATGACAAAAGATTAGATTGTAGACAGCTTCAAATCTGCTTTAGTAAATCAATGAACAGAAACATGAAATTGCACAATCTGTATCAGGATACCCCAGTCTTTGCACCAGTTTATTGGAATAATTATTCAGCAACATAAGCAAGACAATTTTTAATATAAAAAGCAAGATAGATGTTAGATACAAGACAGTGAACCTTGTGTAGATGAACGGACTTGAATACCTTAGTATGCACCCTAGTTAAAACAGCTAGGTAGTTAGTATTTTAAACACATTTCAGGGAGTATTTTAAACCCACTTCAGCTTTTGTGTCTCTACTAACATTCCATAAACACATGCAAAAAGTAATTTCAGACTATAGTAACTTAGAGGTTAAAAATATTACAAGTCAACTTTTATATGTTTGTTTAGTTAAAAGTGCAATGTGCTGTCATGCCTTATGATTAATCCTGTCTTGTAACCAACTCTAAGCAATTTATCCCTATGTGAAATTGTATTGGAGTCAACAGGGCAAGATGACCATGCACAAGTTCAATTTTGAAACTGAGGCACAAAGTTTTATTCAAAAATCTTGTCTAAGACTTCTCTATAGTACTGAATTTATTTACAAAAGAAAGATAGGAATAAGAATTTTCTAAAAAGAAAATTACAGTTACAGCAGTTTTGGCATTGAAATTTTACTTCTTCAGCCCCCCCTTCTGGCAGAAGGGTAACAATACTGTATCCATGAATTAAGAAAAGGTGCTTATTCCGTACTTTTCTCATGCTTCTTAGATGTTGTAATAATATCTCAGACCTCATTTTTTTTTTGTTGTTGTTGGTTTTTTTGTTTGTTTGTTTTTACACAAAAGTAATAGATGATATTACTATTACTAGTAACATGATAGTACTCAATGGCCCAAATTCCCACAGAGTAGAAAGTGAAGTAATATGCCAAGCAGATTCTTTTAAGGAAAAAAAAATAACTACTGATCCCTTTCATTAACTTAGGCAGTATTAATACTAAACCAGCAAAGAGCAGACCAGAAAGGGAAAAAAATCTATCAGTGTTCTACTGTTGAGAAGTGAAGTCAAAGTGAATTACATGCGTAGAAAACATTCATGCCCAAATGCAGAATTGACAGCTAAAGAATTAAGAATGTTCTATAGAAATTAAGTTAGAACAGATGGGAAACAAAGAGATATGCCCACTATTTAATATATTTTACTGAGAATTTGGGTTAAATTCCTATATTAAATTCCCAATGTGATAAGACTATCTCTACCTTACCCTTTCCAAATTTGCAACAGCGTAAGAAGAACAATCTGGCCAGTTTAACTTTTAGGAAAATGGGAAAACAAATTGGTAGATGAGTTTTGTGATACTGAGAATCAGGTTATCGATATATTCTGGACGTTACCAGCAACTGCAGCAGTAAATCTGTTTCTAAAAGCATAAATGGCATATCAGATATTCTACCATCTATTAATTAGCACAACTGTTCAATTTAAATGAGTTTTCAGTCTTTAAGAGTCCAAAAGACTTAACAGAATAAAGCTAAATAATTCCCCTTCCCTTTAGTAGCTAACACATAGCTACAGCTACTGCAAGGTAACAGGAGCTTCACAGTACCTTGCACTGCTGAAAATTTATACAGGTTTTGCCATCTCCAATTTTTAAAAATGCCTTTTTAAATAACGTATCTTTCCATATTAGAATGAAAGTTCAACTGCTGACACATTCGAAGACCAGTCGAGCATTTCTGAGGGCAATCAGGTTTGTATTCTGTACAGGCTGTCTCATTAGCTTACCAGCAGAAGAGAAGCAGGCCTAAAAGCTTGTTTAAGTTGGATGCTTATTCAAAGGAACATACAGAGCTAGTTTTAGAAATCAATTAATTGGATATAGTAGGCCTTTTCTTAAACAAATATACGAGCAACATTTAAGGTCAGGTCACAGAGTTCAATGGTATTTTGAGGTGTAAACACTGTTCTACTGAAGATTTTTATTTTTATAAAAAAAGTCTCAGTTCAAAACATTCCTTGCCCGGAGAAGGATGTACCCTGCGTCCATCTGCATGATTATGTAGTTATAGGCACAAGTATCTCATACAAAATCTAGTCGCAAACCAAACTTCTGCAAAAATGACTGCATTCCCACACCTACCTTTTTGATTTTGCTCAGTAGGTGGTTTGCCGAGGATCTGCCTTGGATAACTCAGTAAAGACCCTTTCAGGATACTCTGGGTACTTTCTTCTTTACCACCACATAAGAAATGAGATATAATTCCATACAAGAGAGGTCTGCTCAAGACAGAAAAGTAAAAGCAGCCAATGAAATATTGAGCACTAATAAAACCACCCTTTCCTCCTCAGTTCTTAGACCTTCATGTTCACTCTTTATGTATGTTCAGATGCCTCTAATTATTTAAATACATTATGCCAGGTGTAATTATATAAAGAAGCACAGACCTAAGCTCCCTCTGAAGACCACCGCTCTCCCAAAAAGTTTGCATTAAGAGACACTCTCAACTAAACTCCAGATCACTCCTGTAGGGTGAACCAGAGCATGCTTAGCACATGAACACAGAGCCACATTCCCACTGATGCAATACAGAGGATTGCACCGGAGCCCACAATACCACCGCATACCCCAAACTTGACTTTTACTAAAAGCCTGAGGCAGATTCTTTGAGACCAAACTAAAGAGACCCATTGGACATGTTTATACCTGCTTAACACCCTATCTCATGAAATAGTTGTATCAGAACACTGTGAATTTATATCTAATCTCAGCATGTGCTATCTTTTTATTGCTCTACAAATCAACTTGCTGATACGCACAGAACATGTTTTCTGCTTCTGACTGAAGGAAAGACTATAGCGCTAAGAGACTTGTTGTTTGGTATGCAAGTACACTAGCTGTAGAATGCATTCTATAGCACTTGTAGAATTAGTTGTAGTTTGGAGTATGTTTGAAAATGGCCCTCTGTTTGACACTGTGAGTTTGAACCCAGCATATTAGCTGCATATAGGCATGTGATACAGTCACATTTCAGTTGGTGAGAACATTTATATGCGATTCACACAAACACTAAGGGGAAATATATGCAGAACAAAATACACTGTGCATTCCAAAATCAATCCTTACACTGATTTTGCATTTGCATCTTCAACGATGTTCAGCTCTTTGACAAGAAACTGTCTGTCCAAGGGCATTTCAGGCTGGCCAGCTTCTGGAAAAGAAATTTCCCCACAATTCTTAAGACTGGTAAAAAAAAAAAAAAAAAAAAAAAGCATCACCAGTTAACTTTTCGACACTACTCATGAGACTTCAAAAACATCAGACCACTCACCTCAGTTTCAGACTATTTCTCTCTAACCCTATACAGTAATTTCAGGGAACACAAGTATTACTGTTTCATACTAATATAATTTAAAATGGCATATTACCGGTTTAGTCTTCACTCTAAAGGTAGATCAGAAAAGTATTAAAGTTTACAGTATAAAGATGAATTAATCAGGCAAATAACTTCCTCTAAAGAAGTACTGTTGTTAAACTGATTCCATCCATTAACACATAATGTCTCCATTCCCTCTTCTCACTGAGATGAACCTTTGTGTCTGTAATTTTAATAGTATGAAAACGTCAAATTCTTATATAGCAAACGCAATTACCACATCTAAGCCCGATTACAAAACTGCAAATTTCAAATACAAATTAGCAATAGGTACAAGCGTAACTACATGCCGTACCACCTAAATTATAGCTACCATTTAAATGTTGTAGCTCTCAGTTATTAGTATTTTAGCACAGCCAATAACAATTAACTGCTGTTGTTCAAAAATAGGGTCCTTCTTCATATCTTTTTTTGTATGTAAGGATTAGATTGTAAAGACAATGACGATTAGATGTAAGGACATCTAATCACATTTCTCACAGTTTATACACAGGAACTGCTGTAATCCAGACTATCAACTACTTTAATAGATTAGTTTAAATTATTCTTCAAAGATTATTTTTTAATTGCAGGATTTGATATTTTTATTTCATCCAAATGCCAATGAGAAAATTGTGATACACACTTTAAAAACAGTTAGCCATTCTCCAGTACAAAAGCAAGATATTTTGGTTTTGCAGGCTGCTAGCAAACTTTCTTGCTCTTGCATCAACTGTTTCGTCAATGTAAATACTATTTACCTCAAGGATAAGCCACAAAGAACATGTTTTCTTGAAAACTAATGGGATGACTTGGCTTACTGCTGCAAATAAGGTGGTGGAGAAAGCGTTCATGGGTTACTTACTTCCAGGGAAAGAAGAGATTGTGCACTTCGTTCCCACCTCTTAATTCCATAGTGCAATTACTCAGTACATCACAGTGACACCCCAGCACAGCGGAGACAAAGCCGACGCCCGGCCCCCTACCTGCGGTGAGCACCGACGCCGTGTACTTGTACTTGTTGTACTCCAGGTACTCCCGGACCAGCTCGTTGATGAGGAGATTTTCACGGGACAGCGGCGGCCGGGGCTCGCTTTGGTCATCCAGCGCGTGAAAAACTTCAGCTCTGATGTTTGCTCTTATTTGCCCGAGGACACCTCTTTTTTCCAGCGCCTCCTTTAGGGCTGTTACCACAAGAAACCAGTGGACATAAAGCCAGGCGCGTTCCGGGACACCCACTCCCACCCCTCCACCACAGTTCCAGCACGTAAGGAAATTAACAGAAGATACCCGTACCCGCGGCTATACCGCTCCTACCAACACGGGGACCGTTACAGATAAAAGCAGAGCCCCCAAACACGCCACAGCCCCCGCTAAAGCCCTCAGGGCACCCTCAGGGCACCCTCAGAGCCCTCACGGTACCCGCCCCGCCCCCACCTTGTTTCAGCTCCACCACCGTCGCCATGGCCCCCACCGTAACACCCCCCCAGTGCGCATGCGCAGCGCGGCAGCGGGGGGACAGCAGCCTGGTGGTCCTGCCTCATGGCGCCCGTCAGCCAATCAGGCTGCGCGGTGGGCGGGGCGGGGCCTTAGGGTGGCGAATGGCGGCGGGGCGGTGCTGCCTCAGGCGCTGGCGGAGGAGGGCCGGAACGTGGCGGCTGAGGGGGGTCTGGGCGCCGCCCGCCTCTGAGGGAGCTGGGATACTGGCAGGTGTCCTGTGTGGGGACTTTTATTTTATTTTATTTTTTTAAATCCTTTTATTGAAAATAATCTATTTTAATTTCGAAGGTTGTCAGTGTTTTCTCCCTTTATTAGCAGGGAGGAAAAAAAAAAAAAGTTTCCCCCTGATAATTTTTACACTGCGTGTCTCAGAGATGAACCTTTCATTAAAGGGCTCATCAAGGCCGAGCTTTTAACTGAAGGCTTTTGCCAAAACGCTGCTGGACGCTGCGGGTTTTGCGTGCACAAGGTCTTTCGTGTGCCTGCTTTGTGCAGAGGCGTGCATGCGTGCCTCATGTTGCTGTGAGGAGGTGGCTGTTTATTTTGCAAGCGAATGAAATATTCCCCAGGGAAATGCTGTCAGTGTGGGCGAGCTCCCTGGGCTTGTCATGGTCTAGATGGAGCAAAGCCTGCCGGGCTTGGGGGAAAATATGAGTCGTCTCAAGCAGCAAGCCCCTAAGGCCTTTAAGGAGTGCCAGCTTGTTTTTTTTTTTCTTTTTATTTTTTTTTTCTTTTGCCAATGTTTCTTCTTAAAACAAACATTTATATTCAGAGTTTCCAAGGAATATCTGAAAGGAAGCACAAAATACAATTCAGAGAAAAAAGATTTTTGAGTTAATGGTGAAGTTAACCTGCTCCTTTTGCACAGCAGCCACCTGCAGCAGTGACTCCACAACAGGACTGCTGTGCGGCCCCTTCAGGGACAGATAATTTTCTGCTGTACCACTTCAGCTATAAGCTTATATTCTGTTACTGTACACAGAGTATGTGTAAAAGTGTAAGCTCTTAGAGGCTGTGTTATCCATTTAGATTTTTTTTTTTCCAGCTTAGTGTGCTATTAATAGTGCTATTAAAAAGGTTCTTCCAGCTTAACCACTGGAGCTCCTACCCTGTATTGACTGTCAGAGCTATTAATGTTTATATGTGCTGTGACCACACCAGAGAAAAACTGTTCCTTACAGCCCAGGGGCAAGAGGATAACACATGGGGGGAACTATGACTTAACTTTTTGAACAGAAGATGTTGTGAGCATCAAGGCATCAAAACAACAACCCACCAATGTATTTAATAGGATTTTGAGATGAATTTAGAGAATGTACAAAACAGGACAGAAATTCTTAATTAAAATTAGTCAGGGGAATGAACGTTTATCTGTTCTCTTGCAGTACTGTAAAGATTTGAACATGGTATGAACTAAGGCACGGGTTAAACTGGCGCGTTGAGTATAGCTTCTGACACCCATTTCTTGGTTTTTCTTTCTGAAAACCATTTATTGGTTTTGATCTTTCTGTGGTAATTCTCTTCATCAGGGGATATGTGACCTTGGTGTGGGCTGAACGCTGCTGCTTCTGGTTCTTGGCCTGGCATCCTGGGAGTGAGAGAGCTGAGACAGACCAGAAATGCTGCAGGTGGACCGGCAGTCTGGCCAGGGCTGATGATGAGCGAGCACAGCTTTGTTCCATGAAAGTGTGCAGGTGAGTACAGAATCAACCTATGATAGTTTTTTTGTTTGTTTTTTTTTAGTGTGTGTGTGTGATGCCCGATTTTTACACTAGCCCCGTGAGACCTGTCTCTGTGTGAATAACTTCTCTACTTCCACAGTTGCTGTGGACACAAAAGAGCATTTTAAATTGAGGTTCTTTATGTAACTTGTGTAAGGAAACTTCAAATGTTGGTGCCCCTTTTTTTCATACATCAGTGTATGATGCCATTTCTACACGTGGGCTATCCATGCTCCAGCAGGTCTGTTCTGGTACACTAGCCTGTCAGCTGAGCATTGATGCCGCGAATACATGTTTAACCGATGGGTTTTAAATCAGATATAAGGAGTGTGGAGGGAACCAGCTCCCATGAGGACTGGTTGAGGGAGCTGGGGATGTTTCACCTGGAGAAAAGAAGGCTCAAGAGAGACCACATTACACTTTACAGTGACCTTAAAGGAGGTTGTAGGTCGGGGCAGGCTTTTCTCCCAAGCACCAAGCGATGAGACGAGGGGAAACGTCCTCAAGTTGCGCCAGGGGTTGGATTTTAGGGGAAATTTATTTACTGAAAAGGTTTCTCTGCCTTCCCCGCCCTTCCCCTCCCCTCCCCTCCCTTCCCGCCGCCCGCCCTCGGCCGAGGCGGGGCTGAGCAACGCGGCCGGGCGGCGCCGCCGGGGCTCGGCATCCCCGTGACCGCGGAGCCCAATCGTGGTGGTGCCGGGCCGAGCTGAGCCGTGCTGAGCTGAGCCGAGCCGTGCCGGGCCGTGCTGCTGGGGTGCCGCCGGCCGGGCACGGCGAGGTGCGGAGGGGGAAAGCGCAGCGCTGCGGGCTCCATGGGGATCGAGAGCTTGTGCAGCGCCGATGCCTCCGAGCCCTTCTGGGTGAGCCGCGGGGATGGGATGGGACCGGCTCGGCTCGGCTCCGCTGGGCTGCCTGGTGCCGGGCGGAGGCGCCGGGAGCCGCGGGCCGGGCGGGGGGCGGCAGGGCCGGGGGCCGCCGGTGTGGGGCCGGCTGTGGGGCTCGGGGAGCTCGGGGGGACTCCGGTGGTGCCTTGGGGCTTGCAGGGGAGCAGCCCCCCGGCTCCGGCCACCCCCGGCTGGACGTGCAGTGGCAATAACCGCCCGCATGGACGCTCACAGCCGGCTGGAGCGGCATGCGGGGTTGTGAAGGAGGCCAAACATCGGCTCTCCGTGCAGGTGCAGTTGTAGCCCGCTTGCGGAGCGATGTTTTCAGTTTTTCTTAAGAAACGGCGGTGAGCGGTGTGCGGATGTGGCAGTGCAGGTCTTGCTCCTGTCGAGGCACCCAGTGCTGGCAGCAGTGCGGCCCCTGGGAGGGCAGAGGGGTGCTGGAAACCCTGCTCTGGAGGAAACAAGGTGTGTGGACAAGCAGGTTGCGCAGAGGAGGGGAAAAACATGGACTTATTTCTTAAACGACACCCCTCAGAATGTAGAAAGCAAAATACATGCACAAAACTTGGGGAGGGGGGGCTGCAGAAGGTGGTGTGGGGTAAGAGAAAAACACGTGGTCTTTCTTAGACTGTTCAAAAAAAACTTTTAATGTTTTTATCGGGTATTTGCCAAGTGTATTGGGCTAATGGGATACTTTACTGGTTCAGTAAAAGATATCTCAGAAGATAGCATTGCATTATTTATCTCAAGAACTGTTAAAATAGTACTCAGCAAATATTAGGAAGATCGTTTGCACCTCAAGGTGTTTAGCTTTTCCAGCCCACCAAAAGTCACCTTGTTAACCAACTTCTATGTTGTTTATGTTGTCTCAGCTAGTTTCCAGGTTTCTCAAAACTGGCTAAGTTATGAGCTGCTATCAGATATTCCTTCCTCTCACTCATAGAACAAGACCTTTTTATTTGAAGTGTCTAAGACAGTACAGGTTTCAGAATTCTCTTTATGGATAAATTTACTTGAGAGTAGTAGTCTTGTGAAAAAGAGTTAGCTGCATTGAATTGTGGAATTGAAGCATCAGGTAGGAGCAACAACTAGACTTACTGTGTTCGAAATGTCTAGTTTGCCTAGGACTTCTGATTTCCTGATTGTTTTGTTATAAAAACAATTAAAATACTTGTATGTAATACAGCCATTTTTGATGGTTTTGGTATGTTGTAATTTCTGCAGAGCTTTTTTACTAGCTGCTTTGGTTTCCAAGAATATAGATGTCTTTGTGATTTGTCATCCTTCTCCAAACCACGTGGAGTCTGCCTTTCATTTCTTGAGCAAAAGATCCTGTGGGTGTGGTTGTTTGATTTCTGGATTCTTCTAATCCTGCAAAAAAGTGATTGTGGATTCCAGTTGGTGCGAGATGTGTCTGGAAAAGTATTCTCCTTTCCTGAACTTTGCTTGTTAACATCTTGATGCAACAACAAAGCAGATGCATTGTTCCAAGTGGTGGGAAGGGTGGAAATGCTAGTAGTGGTGTTCATGGGTACTCTGATTACAGTTTATGGTATTTCCATTGTTGCTATGATTTGTTGATGTTGAAGTTGTAGTGGATTTCCAGAAAATGCCTGTGCGTATGCTGTGTTTTATGGGACTTCCAGGTACCACCTATGCCTGTGCTACTGTCTTTCCTGTCTTGAGGAGTGCTGCACACTTCCGCTTTTCAGGGCTGGGCCACATTTATAATAGCTGGTGACACAGATATTTGCATTCTTGTGGTGAGCTATGGTCACATCAGCTGGGCTGAGGCCCCGCTACTTGGAGGAGCGGGATTTCCTGGCACTGGCAAACCCAGTTTGTTTCAGTGAAGGAGATGCAGCTTCTCTTAATTGTGGTGTTGAGTTTGGAACAGCTCAGTTCCAAATTGTGGGGGACACTTCACAGGTAGAAAGGACCTACCGCACCTTTAAAAACCGTTATGCTAATCTTCTTAAGCCTTGCTGCCCAGGATTTTTCTTGTTGCACACCTAAGGAATGTTACTGTTGGATATTCTTGTCTGAATTAAACAGACTTTTTATTTAATACTCACTCTGAAAGGTCCACAGCCCAGTCTGCTATCTTCTTCAGGCCTTGTTTTCCTCTTGCTGTTTAACCCATCTTTGGTACCCGGCATGTTAACTTTCACCGCAACCAGATTTGTGTACAGAACTTCGCTGTTCCTTGCTATTCTTTGAACCAGGCTCCCTTTTTGGAAGCATGCTGTTTCGTCCTTGCTGTCTCCCCTAGTGTTGTTGAATATCTCACTGCAAGGATTTAATTTGTAATACAAAATTACTGCTGTGTAAGATGTTGAGGATACCAAACGCTTTAAAAACAAAACAAAACAAAAAAACAACACAAAAAAACAAACCACTGAAGAACCTGTGGGTTAGGGGTAACATTTTGCAGTACTTGCATTTCAGTTCAGTGACTTTAAGGGCCT